TTCAAACTCGCATGTTTAAGAACTTGTATCTCCCTCGTCGTAACTCCATTTCACCTCATTTTTGCGTTATTGGATTCACCTCATGACCTAATTTTCATTTCATCTCTCATATGCCTTATTTCATCTCTTGTTGCATGCTATCAAAGCTCTGAAACTTGGCCAAAAATAAGATTTTTCGCTCTTTTGGCAAAATTTTCATATTCAAACTCACATATTCAAGCACTTGTATATCGTCGTAATTTCGTTTTGTCTCATTTTTATGTTGTTGGATTCATTTTATGGCCTAATTTTCATTCCATCCCTCATATGCCTCATTTCATCTCTTTTTGCATACCATCAAAGCTCCGAAAGTTTGCTGAAAATAAGATTTTTCTCTTCTTTTTTTTTTAATTTCTCCCCTCTATATTTTATCTCCATGATTTTTCCTCCTTTCCTTTTCACAATTATTCTCTTTTTTCCTCTTCTTTCATGGCCCTTCTCCCACCCTTACGTTTCATCCACTTCTTGTAAGTCATATGCCTTCATACTCACAACACTGCCACCATTGGAGGTTCGGTGGCCACCACGAGCTCGGTGGAAGGGCCATGAAGGAAGAGGAAAAGAGAAAATAATTGTGGAAATGAAGAAAGAAGGAAAAAGCATGGAGATAAAAGATAGATAATAAAGAAAAAAAAGAGAAAAATCTTATTTTTGGCCAACATTTGGAGCTTTGACGGCATACAAAAGAGATGAAATAAGGCGTGCAAGGGATGGAATGAACACTAGGCCATGAGGTGAATCCAACAACGTAAAAATAAGGCAAAACGGAGTTATGACGAAGGAGATACAAGTTCTTAAATATGTGAGTTTGAATCTGAAAATTTTACCCAAAGAGAGAAAAATCTTATCTTTAGCCAACTTTTGAAGTTCCGACGACATGCAAAAAGAGGTGGAACAAGGCGTATGAGGGTTGAAATAAAAACTAAGCTATGAGGTGAATCCAACGACACAAAAATAAAGTGAAACGGAGTTATGACGAGAGAGATACAAATGTTTGAATATGTGGGTTTGAATTTGAAATTTTGCCGAGATTTCTGTTAGTTTAATGTGATGGAGATGGACAGAGAGACCAGATTGAAACATGGGTGGAGTGATAGGGTTTAATTTATCGAAATTGAAAACTTGGAGTTTAAAATGAAAAATGTGCCAAACCTGGGGCTTTTTGTGTAATTAACCCCAAAAAAAATATGTGCCGTGTTGTTATTTGTGTAAATACTTCCAAATAGTGACGCTTGGTTTTGGAAGTCACGTTTTTTATAATTTTTCCTTTTTAAAAAATTAAAATTGAACAAAAAGATTTTTTAAAGTAATGTTTATAATTTAAATGAGAAAGCTACTTTCAAATAAGAATTCATTTAATTAAAAAAAAAAGTTGAAATTTGTATTAACAATGAGTCACTAATTAAATAACAACAATGCTACAAACTTCCCAAAAAATCCAACCCCCACAATCCCCATTCACTTGTGAAGAAAAAAAAATGATTGATTCACGTCATTTTAGAGGTTGTGGGAGTCCCCAACCTTCACTACAAGAAATGTCACTTTTGGCTACCAAAATATTGGTCGCCAAAAGTCACTTATTTAGTCGCCTAAATGAATTAGCGACCAAAATTTTTCGTCGCTAAGCTCGTCGCCTTTACCCTGTCGGCGATAGTATTGGCGACTAAAATCTGTTTGGTCGCCGAAAGTGTACACATTTGGCTACTAAGTTGGCTTTAGTCGGCAAAAGTTATGTTTCCCCTACTAAAATAATTGGTCGCCGATAATCAGCATTTGGCTATGACTTTGAGTTTAGTCGGCAAAATATATGTTTCTGCCACTAAATAATTGGTCGCGGAATTAGGCTTTTTGGCTACCAACCTGTGGTGGTCGGGGAAGGTTCACTTTTAGCTACTAAAAAATTGGTCGCCGAAAGTGCATATTTGGCTAGTACTTTGAGTTTAGTCGGCAAAAGGTCTGTTTCTGCCACTAAAGTATTAGTCACTAAAAGTGCTACCATAATTTAAGAATAACTATTATAGACCAAACATTTTTGTCACCAATAGAATACATATTTTTAGTGACTAAGCAATTTTTGTCATTGTTACTTTTGCCCACTAAAAGTTTTGTAGCCAAAACCCTGCTCACATTTACTTCTTAATTTTTTGCCACCAAACGTTTTAGTCGCCAAATGACACCATATTTTTTCCGTGACTAAAACATTTAGTAGCCAATACTTTCTTTATCTCTTTCTCAATTGTTTTAGCTACTAATTATTTGGTCACAAAAAATTAATGGGTTATGTTTTTGCTACTAAATTCTTAGTCACCAAAACATTTGATTACATATTTAGCTACCAAAATATTTGGTGGCCAAATATGTTAACATTTTTTTTTAATTAAAATATTTGGTGCACCTATATCCATTATTAATACAACCTGTATCCATCAACGGTAAATATGTTATGAAGCATTCAACAACAATTACACACATTTCAGTTCCAACCATCCAAAAAATTAATATTGAACATCCACTTATATATATATATTACAAATTTCATAAGAACCAAGTCTAAGCCCACATCAATAATTTAATTTAATTTAATTCAATACATAATACTGGAATAACCAAATTCTTTGTGCACCTACAACTTTTGTACCACAACAAAAATTATATTATGTACCACGTGCTATGTTAATTGCTACCACCAAAAAATTTTTTACAAACCACTATATATACGGATAGAGATATGAACAAAATGCCCTCCCGTACTTGTCAACAAAAACATATCCACATTTGTATGTCCAAAAACATCTGCAAAAAAGGGGGAAAAAATCATTAGTTCGGTGCATGTAATGGCACTTCTGGACGACATATATATATCGTAATAATTTCAAACATTAAAAGACAAGGAGAGTGATATCTATTAACTAATGCAAGACATCCAAACATGAACCCATCACGAGTTCTTGTTCTAGCTTTTTTATCTCTAAATCTATCGAAGTAAATATTAGTACTTAAATGTGAAAGTAAATTGTGTAGGTATTATGAAATTACCAAAATTTTGGGTGTACTTACCATTTCATCCAAAAATTATATGTTATAAAAATGTAAGAAAAGCCATCATTAGAGTTTGTCTGGTATCCATAAAAGTCACTATGCTTATGCTTTTGTGACCTCCACGAAGCTTCCAGTTACGTTAGTTCAGTGTTTTTGAACTTCCCAAACGGAACAGTGGTGCTGGAAGGGGATTGATATATATTTAAGGGGGTCATCTCAACCATCTATTTAAATAGACAAATGAATCATAGTCATTGAAATGTCTTAGTAGGACATTTGTCTCTAAATTTTTTTTCAAAAACCGTTCTGTCTTATTATATAGATATTATAAAATATACTTAATTTTTTTGGGGGACTCCTGCATGATTAACTAGGCACAAATCAATTTGATTTAGAAATTTAGAACATTTAATATGTATATTTTGTCATATATAAAGACAGATGAAGAAATCATGTGTCAAGTAGATTTAATTAATTTATTATGCAGTTGTAACTAGTTTATTATATTAAAGTAAACCTTAAATTAATTTTAGAAGATGATAAACCATTTGGATTCTAGTATAGCCTAATAAAGCCAACTAGCCATGGCTTTTACCACTTAATTCAATAAATCTGATTGTTTTATTCATATACCTACTACTAATGGGAATTCATTTTTATTTACTTAATAAGCATGTTTCATTTTCATTTTTATTTTTAAAAAAGAAGTTTCTTTAAATTTTATTGTTCTCATTTAAAAAAAAAAAGTCAAATTCCATGGATAAAATGTCATTGTTGTTAAGATTTGACAACCTTTGCATAAAAATAAAAATAAAATAACTATTTTGTTTAATAATTTTTGGCGACCAAAAGTTTGGTCGCCAAAGATCAAAAATAAAATCTTTTATTTCCCTTCGGCTACCAAAAAATTTAGTAGGCAAAGGTGCGTCTACAGCGACTAAAATGGATTTTGTCGCTGAAAAGATAGTTTTGGCGACCAAAAGTTTGGTTGCCAAAGATCAAAAATAAATTTTTTTATTTTCCTTCGGCTACCAAACAATTTAGTAGGCAAAAGTAGGTCTACAGCGACTAAAATGGATTTTGTCGCTGAAAAGATAGTTTTGGCCACCAAAAGTTTGGTCACCAAAGATCAAAAATAAAATCTTTTATTTCCCTTCGGCTACCAAACAATTTAGTAGGCAAAAGTAGGCCTACAGCGACTAAAATGGATTTTGTCGCTGAAAAGATAGTTTTGGCCACCAAAAGTTTGGTCACCAAAGATCAAAAATAAAATCTTTTATTTCCCTTCGGCTACCAAACAATTTAGTAGGCAAAAGTAGGCCTACAGCGACTAAAATGGATTTTGTCGCTGAAAAGATAGTTTTGGCCACCAAAAGTTTGGTCACCAAAGATCAAAAATAAAATCTTTTATTTCCCTTCGGCTACCAAACAATTTAGTAGGCAAAAGTAGGCCTACAGCGACTAAAATGGATTTTGTCGCTGAAAAGATAGTTTTGGCCACCAAAAGTTTGGTCACCAAAGATCAAAAATAAAATCTTTTATTTCCCTTCGGCTACCAAACAATTTAGTAGGCAAAAGTAGGCCTACAGCGACTAAAATGGATTTTGTCGCTGAAAAGATAGTTTTGGCCACCAAAAGTTTGGTCACCAAAGATCAAAAATAAAATCTTTTATTTCCCTTCGGCTACCAAACAATTTAGTAGGCAAAAGTAGGCCTACAGCGACTAAAATGGATTTTGTCGCTGAAAAGATAGTTTTGGCCACCAAAAGTTTGGTCACCAAAGATCAAAAATAAAATCTTTTATTTCCCTTCGGCTACCAAACAATTTAGTAGGCAAAAGTAGGCCTACAGCGACTAAAATGGATTTTGTCGCTGAAAAGATAGTTTTGGCGACCAAACTTTTGGTCACCAAAACTATCTTTTCAGCGACAAAACTCGTCATGATCTTTTTGCCGCTCCTCACGAAGTGCCTCCACCTCAGCTCGCATTGCCTCCATGTCCTTATCGTGTGCTCGTGATGCAGCTTTGGTAGGGGGTTGTGGGCCACTCCCAAATCCAAGCAAGTACCTTTTCTTCTGTCCAAGCACTTGCCTTGAAATCTCCTCTTGTGTCAATGGCGTCCCCGACTCGATGGCAGCCGCTTGTACATTGACCATCTCTTGCTGTCATTTCAAATAAATAAGACGAAAAAAACTTTGGCAACATATATGTATTATTGGGTACTAAGTACAAGAAAATATTGAATACATATATTTCGTTGTCACATACTTACATGCAGCTCACGGCATTTCGGATGGATCCAGTCATTCGTTTTCTTTGAAGTGTGGCTGTCCTCATAGAACTTTGGGAAATCCAACTCTCCATCTTTTGCTACCTGTTAACACATCAATGTATAAATCAATGACACTTTATGCACCAAACAGACAAATTTCCATGAACAGATTTTTAAACAAATTGCTGGACAGATTGGGAAACAGATTTGGAGACAGATTTTTAGACAGATTTTCTGCCAAATTTGCAGCCAGATTCGAATTCAAAGAGATTATCATTAACAGATTTATATGAGCTATGTTACTAGACTAATGATTGGGTGTTATTCTTAAGTATGAGATGATCTTTTCCTTATGGGCCAATTGAATATGGTGTTATTCTTAAGATATTTAGACTGCAGTACTTAGCACCAAAGTTTGTCTTTCTCACTAAGAATTTTCCATCCAAGTTTAATGAGAAGGGATGCATTGTGATCTTTAGCTTTTCTAATACCTAGTCCCCCTTCAACTTTTGTTTTACACACATTATCCCAACGCACCAAATGAACTTTCTTCCTGCTATCAGTGTCCCTCTAGAGAAAATTTATGTTCAATCTGTCAATATCATTACAAAGGCTCCTAGGAAGTTCCATAGTTTGCATGTTGTAACTGGGAATAATTGAGGTCACAGATTGAATGAGAGTGGTTCTGCCAGCAAGAGATAGATTTCTAGCTTTCCACCCTGAGAGTCTAGTCTTCATCTTTTCTATGATCTCATTGAACATGGTCTTGTTAACTCTTTCATGGAGAAGTAGGGATCCCAGGTATTTACCAAGATCTTACGTCAGGGGGATCCTACTTTCAAACTGCCATGGTCATAGCTTTATGTCTAGGAAGGTTAGAAGAGGCAAAAAGTTTAGATTTAGCATGGTTGACTTTCTGCCCAGACACATCACAAAATTCAATGAGAACATCCATGATAATTTCATAGTTGAGTTGATCAGCTTTGGCAAAGAGTATGAGGTCATCAGCAAAGAATAAGTGAGAAAGTGGGAGACTATTTCTAGAGGCTTTAATGCCCTTCCAAGTGCGATCTTTAACTTTGGAAGTGATCATGTTTGAGAGTCTTTCCATATAGAGTACAAAGAGGTAAGGTAAGGTAAGATTGGGTCACCTTCCCTTACGCCCCTTTCATTATGGATACCATTAATCACTTCTCCATTCCAAAGTATGGAGGAGTGGCTATTAGTAACATAGCTCATAATCAAATTAACCCAATCCTCATTGATTTTAAATTCAAACAGATTATGTCCAACAGATTTATATGAGCTATGTTACTAGAGATTATCAAACAGAATTTCTCAAACAGATTATGTCCAACAGATTTTCGCACATAGCCACTTATAATCACTTCAGATTATGTGTATTATAACATGTGTATGTACAGGAATATCTGTTTTTTGTGAATGTATTAACTTAAATCTAAAACACAAAGAGCTATAAGACTAATGATCTTAAGTGAAAAACAGAGTATAGTTTAGATCATGGGCAGTATATATAGTTCAGATTGTGTATGAATTAGTGTAGAAAGATTTAGTAAAACTATTGTGTATACTGTATTATAGTGTAGTATAGTGTACACAGATTTATAAATCTAAACTATACACAATCTGTATTATAGTTTAGACAGATTTTTAGAGTATAGTTTACATTTTGTAGTATAGTGCAGTATATATAGTTCAGATTGTGTATTATAGTGTAGACAGATTTATATATACTGTATTATAGTGTAGACAGATTGTGTATTATAGTGTATTATAGTGTAAACAGAGTATAGATTAGATTTTGTGAGACAGATTTCGAAAGAAAGACAGAGTATAGTGTAGGCAGATTTAGAATGCAAACATGTGGCAAGGGTATCATTAACAGATTTTTTCCAGACAGATTTTTTGCAGACAGTATATGTTTACTAACAGAGTTTAAAATATATATATATATATATATGTAGGAGAACATAACATTTTTCATATCCAAACAACATATAATGGATTCAAGTTTAAAAAAAATCGAACTCACCATAGCAGCCATTGCGATAGGAAATGAGCGAGACCCATTGGTATGATTGTACGGCAATTGACTCCTATTACTCTTGCCAGCTTTTGACCGTTTCTAAAAATAAGTCAAGCAGATAAACAATATTTTTTGTCAATATTAAGGCATATCACATTTTCACATAGATGTATGTACTCTATCTAGTCTATTATTTTACCTGGTGAGATGCATCTTGCCATGCCACATCGATCAAATGCTTCCAATTATCTAAACTCACCCCTACGAGCGGATGACCATAGATCTCATCACGTGGAAGTCCTTCTAACAATTCGAACTCTTGCTTCAAGGTGTACCTCCAATCTTTGTACAACCCATAGGCCTTCTTATTCACAATCTCCTGTGCTTGTAAGTCATTGTGGAAATCGTCTCCAATTTGAAACTTGTCCTACATACAAAACAAATTGAAATAGTAATCATTACATATTAGTCTTTCTTATTACTCACATAATACAATTACATATTGTGGACAAGTAATATTAGTTACAAGAACTCCTTGGATGACGGCAGCTTTAGTAGTCTCATCAAGATCCAGCCATGACTTCACATCTTTCAAAGGGCACAAGGTTCTAATTTGAATTCCTAACTCGTCAGTTACTGGAGTGGCATACTTGCCAGTCATTGCATTCAACCCACGATCGATGTGAACATAACATTTTTCCCCTTTGTTGGCTCTAATTATTTTTTGTATGCCCTTGCCAAGTGTCGGTCCACGTACACGTAGGGGCTTCGAAGTCCCTGTTAACAACATAACATCATGAAAATTGCCTAAAATTTGGCTACAAAAAAACAATGGCAATGGCATGTGCTAATTGACAAATTTTATACACTTTAATCTTACCTACGCCACTCGGCTGCGTTTCGGATGGGGCTTGTGTCTCATCAGAATCAACCATTGGTTGGCTAGTGGCATTATGAGATGGTCCCACATTTGATGGGACGGGGAGAACACGAGATGGAGCAACGGGTGATCCTAAAGGAATAGCAGCTAGCGAGTCTGTTTCTGGCTACGTGAGTGTCTTCTTCCGAAGCCGACCAGTCAAAAGTGGAAGGGGAGAATTGAAAAGTGACACATAGGAGAGAGAATTCTTAAGAATTTAGTATTAAGAGTTTGGAGAATTCTCATACTTCACTACATTTGTTTATATATATAGTATAGATTCAATATCTTCCCAAACATAAAAATTTTAACATATTAAAATAGCCAAAAACTAAAATAGCCTACTAAAATAACAACTTTACAAACTCCCACTGTGTTAGATTGTAAAATAATATGAACTTCAATCTATTTGGCTTAAAAATTTTAAAAAAAAATCTAGTATTCACAACTTCAGAGGAGAGATCAGAGTACAATTCAAGTAACTAAACTACCTCAACAGATATTCAGCGGCTTTGGCTCCTGTATCTTTTGAAATTAGGTAAGTTTAGAAGCACTTGATGATCATAGTGTAACTGCAAACAAGTTAGGAGTGCTTGTATTACTTTATTTAATAACTTCGCCTGGTAAGTGAAGAATAGAACATAAAGGCATTTTCTTTGTATCAACGAAATAAAAGTATATACATTGGGATAAGAAGTCTTAGTTGTTCCCATTATCTATAAATATTGAACTTGCCTCTGCAAGAAAAAGATGGAATAGGTGTATGGGGTTGAAAAGGTTTGAAACATTATAAAGCATATCATCACATCTGTCTTGGCAGACCCTACATGCAAACAAAAAAAATCATTAAAGACTTCTTAGCAACCAATACTCTTAATAACCACTAAAACTATTCTAGCATGTGTTGCTTACTGTTGCTTGGCACCAAAGGACACGAGAAACAGTTGCAAAAGCACTTCAAATAGGATATCGTCCTACAAATCAACAATAGACAAGAAATTAGGATATAGCAGGTCTAAAGAAAGACACATATTCTACGAACAAGAAATTAAACGATTAATAAATTAATATAACCATTCAAGCTACACGAGCAACTATATAAACTGAACTTAGGTTGACCCGTAGACTGCCTATCAATAGCAAAAAATATTCTGTGATTTTTTATCAAACTGAACTTAGGATATAGCAGGTCTAAACTATTTTTTATCAAATGCTCTTCTTTTGCTTCTTTAAAGTCAATGTCCATGTTCTCTCAATAGCAAAAAATCTTCTAAATTGTTAAACAAACAATACTCAAGAAAACCAACAACAATGACTTCAATAATACAAGTTGTCATGTAAGAGATATAGTCTGTGATTTTTCTTTCGTTCTTATTTTTGACAACTATGATGGCCTATGATTTTATCAAACTTATAATCCCAGGCATATCAGACTGGCAAAAGAGGATTCAGTAGCTGACCCTTTGCATTTCAAAGCCAGACTGTTCAAAATCTGTACACATACATATTACAATTGAATTCAAACTAACCCTTTCATACCTTGTGTGGAATCTTTTTACCACCATCATCGTTCAACTTGTATCTACACGCGTCACATGTAGGGCATTTCTCCAAATTAGCACTCTCCTTCCAAAATAGTGCACAATCATTCTTGCACGAATGAATTGTTTCATATCCCAACCCCAAGTCACGTAAGAACTTCTTAGCATCATAGAGTGTCCATGGAACTGTTGGATCACATTCTGATAGAATGTCCTTGAATACCTGCATAACCATATCGAATGACTTGTTGCTCCATTTGTTGTACACCTTCACATAAAGCATCTTAATGACGAATGATAACACAGAAAACTTTTCACAATTCGGGTGAACTTTGCGTTGTGCATCTTCGAATAACCTAGTGAACTTATGCAAATCCTCCCTCTCCAAACCATTAGGTTCCTCGTCGGTATGATCATCCATAAGACCACTCACATAAATTTCTTCCAACATAATAGGCAATTCATCCATGGGCGGATCATCGATATCTGTCATACATTCGCCACTACCTCCATATTGGTCATTTGATACACTAGGACGAGACACGGGAACATGTTCCCCGTGATGCACCCAAGTTAGATACGAAGATGCCATGCCTCTTCGGATCAAGTGCATCCACACAACTTGTCTGCTATATTTTGTGCCATTAATGCAATCGACACACGGACACCTAATTTCATCCTCTACGCCTAAATTTGCCGTAGCAAAATCAAGGAATGACTTCACCCCTTGTTGATACTCTTTACTTGTCAACCGATTATTTATCGTCATCCAACTCTTGTCCATTTTGTCACCTACAACTCACACAAACATTAACCGAGGAAGCCATGAGAACACGCATTTCAAGTTGAGATAGATTAGGTTGTTTTTCATTCACTGTTTGGCTTGTCACATAAATCCCTTTTAGGGTGGAACTTTATGACACGATTAGTTCTAAAACAAGTTAATTTAAGAAATGACCCGTAATTTTGGACCACTAGATAGCATAACTAGTAGAGCACTAGTACTAGAGAAACTATATGGTCAATGATAGAATGATATATCAAAATAATGAAAACCATGTCATCCTCTTATTACAATGAAACAGGTTAAGAGTTAAGCATGACTTTTATACCACTTAAACTCAGATTTGTTTTCTTAACAAGAGAAGAATGTCAAAGCCATAGGCTTTTTGACGCTCACAAATCAGAATAGCGAGGGAGGGCCAATTGGAGAAGATGATGGACGAAGGAGGCTGCAATGGTTGACGACAAGGCTATAAAGGTGACGGAGCATTTTACAAATAGCATACTTACCGTGGGAAGTTAAAACTCCAAAATCCTATACATGCAAGTTTAAGTACTACTAGTCCTGCACTAACAGTGGCCACAAACATATATTATAATATGTGACCTAAAGCAGCTAATAATTAATATCCATTAAAAAAAAAAAAAAACCAACCTGAATGACAATCCTGTGCTACAGGATTACCATTACGGGTAACTCCACAGAGTAGACCAGCAAGCTCTAGCAAGCAGCCTGGTTTTGGGTAGTTGGCAATGATGTATTTACCGACAATGAGAAAAGCGAGTGCAAACACCATAGAAAAGAAATTTTTAATTAACAAAGTTAAAATCCCTCATCTTGTTGGACAGTACAGGTTTGTAGGAAAGACTTGGATGTGAAACAAAAGTAAGAGGATGTCAACTTCGGGTACAAATCAATTGAGCCAAAGAGTTGTTTGGTGCAGAAAATCCCTATTCATAAGTCCAAGATAAGCATCCCTTGTACAGTAATATGATTATATAAGTATATTTCAAATTACCACGTTGTCATGCAAAATGAAATGTTCCATTCTTCACACCTAACTGTTGGTATTAATATAAAAAACTACCCATGGTACATATCAGCGGTTCACCCCTAACTGTTAGTGTTAACATAAAAAATACCCAAGCTACATAATAGCAGCTGATCAGAGGATGACTGGATCTTCACTAGCAAACAATTTCCTTTAGCAATCAATATGCCTTAGTTAGTTGAAGAATTTATGTTAGAAAAGCAAACTAACCTCACATTGCCTACAACAGAAAACATTATTGTCATGTAAGATTGATGATCCACCATTTAACCAATAGAAAAATGCATTGCCACAGTCCAAACCAAATTAAAATTAAGGCTTGTATCCTATTCAAGTGAGATAGACTACATAAATCATTTTTCACTATTCTACTCTATCAATGTTTGTATACTTGATTAATTAAACAAATTCACATGGATTACATAATATGCCAAAAGTACTCTTTCACTTGAGCTAACATATGTTAAAAAATGCCATATGTTAAAAAATGGGTAATACTAGAATGAAGATGCCAAAAGTACTCTTTGCCCTAGTTTATGTAGCAAATGGGTTGATTCACCCCAAGCATTGCCCTAATTTTTCATTTGAAACACATTTCAATAACAATGCCCTAATTGAGGGCATTTCGTAAAACAAATATTCTGTGTGTTTTGACACACACACACACACACACACACACACACACACACACACACACACACACACACACACACACACACACACACACACACACACACACACACACACACACACACACACACACACACACACACACACACACACACACACACACACACACACACACACACACACACACACACACACACACACACACACACACACACACACACACACACACACACACACACACACACACACACACACACACACACACACACACACACACACACACACACACACACACACACACACACACACACACACACACACACACACACACACACACACACAC